TTGAAAGCGTATTAGACCAACGTACGATCAATTACTAGGGAAATGTCATTCTCTCTATATATGGACTGGAAGCTGTTTCTCCCATTGAAGTATAGATTCCCTTGTTGAGAGTCTTCATGAAGCAAGGTTAGAATAATTTGAATTGGTCAATGTGAGGTATGAGCAATTGAATATGATTAAAGAGAATAACCTAACTTTCATTTCCCACAAACAATTATATTCAGGCAGGATGGCTAGAATTTTAACAAGAAAGTTTTCCCTAGAGAATTCGAGGCATGTGATCTGGTACTTAAAAATATCATTTTGGATGAAGAGGATTCCTGAGGGAAGTGAGCCCTAAATTATGAAGGTTCTTACAATGTCAAGAATACTTTCTTAGGAGGAGCTCTCATCTTGCAAGACATGGATGAAAATATATTACCAAGACTCATGAATACAAATATGATCAATAGGGTATATGCTCATTCACAGACATACATATATATATATATAACTTGTTAGGTTGAAAACTCGAAAGAGCAACCTAAGCAAAAGTTAGGGTAAAAAATAAAAAATTTCGACAAGTTGAAAACCTAAATGGGTTTCCTAAGCAAAAGTTAAGATAAATAAATTGTCAAGGTCTCAAAGGTTTCCCCCATATTGGAGAATTCTATTTTATACAATTGGTTATGTGTGATACATGTTTCTTGAGAATCTACTCGGATTTGATACTCAGTGGTTGTGCCAGTTTACCTTAATTTGAATAGTTATCCTTGTTGATTTTAAAAGGTAGAGGACCAAAGCATACCAATAATGCCTTAGTGAAACCCTCCCAAATAGTAAACTGATTGGTCAGAAACATCCATTTATATCAGCTTAGTGCGATACATTTCATGGAAAAGACACTTAGTTCTAGGCATTGAAAGATACTACTTGGTATAAAGTAAAATAATATTCAGCTTGAAATAATCAGTCCTCTAGATTTGTACCATCAAAGCGGCGTAATTCTAATTTAGGGGGTTTTTATTATACCAGATGGTGGAAAAAATCCAGATCCAAAACTAGGAGCTGGTGGTCGACGAGGTTGAGATCCAAGAGGGGGTAATTGGAAATTGGAGGTGGATAGACGAGCTAGCTTGTCTGCCAGACAATTCAAAATAGTTTCCAAACGAGCTTCCATGGATGCTTGTAGTAGATCTTATCTTTCAGTGAGATTCTCTTGAAGGGAAGCTAATTTTTCCAAAACCAGCATGTTTTGAAGTGTCCTCCATGGTGGAGTGAGTGGAAAAAGAAGGCGAGATGCGTTTAGGAGGTGTGAAAACGTATGAAAGAAATACTCTACACCTTACCTACTATTGGATTTGAACCAATGACTCCCGCCGTATGAAAGCAATACTCTAACCACTGAGTTAAGTAGGTCACTTACCATCCCAACCAAATCGAAAAAATAAAAAAAAAAAGGGATATCTTATCTATGCTATCAGATCAATGGATTATAAATGTAATATTACTTAATAAGCAATACCAATACAATATCAATCAAGGAGATTGGATCATGGAATATTCATCTTGACAAGAAATTATCTACATAATATGATAAAATATGTATCAAAATGTATCAAACACACAAGGGCTATAGCTCAGTTAGGTAGAGCACCTCGTTTACACGTGCGCCAATGTTTTTTCAGAGGAGTCCATCCTGTAATCAAAAGAGCGGATCTTATTGAGAAATGGATGTCTGACTCTATTTTAGGGAACAAAAATAGCCTGACAAAGGGTTTAGACGTCAGTCAAACAAACCCCCTCATTGATTTGAGATACTGATAAGGTGAATACCCGACCCGGTCTATTCAATGCTAGGCCTAATGAGTATGTATAGGGACCTCAAACAAATTATCTTTTCGTCCTATCGTATGAACTTTAAGGTGTATGAAGTTTCATTTCTTATTTGATATAAGTAAGTCGATAGAGAATCCATTTAACTTAAGTTGATCCGGGCCAAAAGCAGACCTACGTCAGGATAACCCTTCTTTGAAACACTTTGGTAGTGCTCTTAGATTTATTGTAATCAAAATAAGAAATCAGAGCACAGGGAGTCATCTCCTTATTCTTTCTGTCAAGAAAAAAGATGGTAGACTAACTGATATTTGTATCAGTTAATGAAAAAGCCCAATGCAAAAAAGATGCACGTTGGGTCTTTAAAGAAATTCAAATCGTTTTGATAATAATAAGTTTGATTTGTTTTACCGAGCAGGTCTACGGTTCGAGTCCGTATAGCCCTACATATTCCTACAAATAATAATATTTATTATTTAATATGTCTCATTACTAACTAATATATTTTGAGTACTAAATACTCTATACTCGTATTAGTAAAAATATCCATTCTATTATTATTATATTAATTAGTAATTAATTAGCAGTAGAACGAATTTCTAAATTTCTATTAGAATAGTTTTATATTAGATAAAAAGTTACTAATATTAGTAGTCTTCTATACTAGTTTAAATCAGTTATATAAAAAATGAAATGCTTTACTTCAATATTTTAATATAAAGTAAAGGAGTTCTATATGTTATATAGACTATATATAATTATTATATATATCATTATATATATTATAATATATAATTATGTTTGTATATTAAATCTAATTATTTAATATAAAAAAATAATAATAAATTTTGAAATTTAATCGAAATTAATATGGAATTTATTAATAACGAATACGAATGACTAATCGGGTATATTTTCCACATTCATAGGAGTACATTTATGTTTTTGCTTTACGAATATGATATTTTTTGGGCATTTCTAATAATCTCGAGCCTTATTCCGATTTTAGCATTTTTAATTTCTGGAATTTTAGCCCCGATTCGAAAGGGACCAGAGAAACTCTCGAGTTATGAATCGGGAATAGAACCAATGGGCGATGCTTGGTTACAATTTAGAATCCGTTATTATATGTTTGCTCTAGTTTTTGTTGTTTTTGATGTTGAAACGGTTTTTCTTTATCCATGGGCAATGAGTTTCGATGTATTGGGGGTATCCGTATTTATAGAAGCTTTAATTTTCGTGCTTATCCTAATTGTTGGTTTAGTTTATGCATGGCGAAAGGGGGCATTAGAATGGTCATAATTCTTGAATATTTAGACAATAAAAAAAAAAACATTGAGACTATTATGAATTCTATTGAGTTTCTCTTACGTGATCGAACAACCCAAAATTCAGTTATTTCAACTACATTAAATGAGCTTTCAAATTGGTCAAGACTATCCAGTTTATGGCCGCTTCTCTATGGTACCAGTTGTTGCTTCATTGAATTTGCTTCATTAATAGGGTCGCGATTCGACTTTGATCGTTATGGACTAGTACCACGATCGAGTCCTAGGCAGGCAGACCTAATTTTAACAGCGGGCACAGTAACTATGAAAATGGCTCCTTCTTTAGTTAGATTATATGAGCAAATGCCCGAACCAAAATATGTTATTGCTATGGGAGCCTGTACAATTACAGGGGGAATGTTCAGTACCGATTCTTATAGTACTGTTCGGGGCGTAGATAAGCTAATTCCTGTGGATGTCTATTTGCCGGGCTGTCCACCTAAACCGGAGGCCGTTATAGATGCTATAACAAAACTTCGTAAGAAAATATCTCGAGAAATCTATGAAGAGCAAATTAGGTCTCAACGAGAGAATAAGAATAGGTGTTTTACTACCAACCACAAATTTAATGTTGGACGCAGTACTCATACCGGCAATTATGATCAAGGATTTTTTTTTCAACCACCATCTACTTCGGAGATCTCCTCTGACACATTTTTCAAATATAAAAAAAAGAGTTCAGTATCCTCCCACAAAGTAGTGAATTAGACCGGATTCTTTTGTCCAAAATACAATAATAAATAGCAAGTCAATCTTAAAAAATTTCACTGTAAGGTAAACTACTTAACTTATACAAATAAAAAAAATACAGGAGAAAAAAATGCAGGGTCGTTTGTCGGCTTGGCTAGTCAAACATGGACTAATTCATAGATCTTTGGGTTTCGATTACCAAGGAATAGAGACTTTACAAATAAAGTCCGAGGATTGGCATTCCATTGCTGTTATTTTATATGTATATGGTTACAATTATCTACGTTCCCAATGTGCTTATGATGTAGCACCGGGAGGACTGTTAGCTAGTGTGTATCATCTTACGAGAATAGAGTGTGGTATAGATCAACCAGAAGAGATATGCATAAAAGTATTTGTACCAAGGAAAAATCCAGTAATTCCTTCTATTTTCTGGGTTTGGAAAAGTGCGGATTTTCAAGAAAGAGAATCTTATGATATGTTGGGAATCTCTTATTATAATCATCCGCGTCTGAAACGTATTTTAATGCCCGAAAGTTGGATAGGATGGCCTTTGCGTAAAGATTATATCGCCCCCAATTTTTATGAAATACAAGATGCTCACTAAATGAAAAAAAGAAAAAACTAATCCGCATTTCTACAATCCCAGATATTCCTTAAATATCCGTAGATTGTCTTATAGATCAGACAAAGTAATTGACGTCAAATCAAACAGAATAATTGAGGTCTCGTTTATATATTATTATGATGGATGGGATAAATTAAAAAATGCGGGTAGGGATTCATTTAGATTCTCAAATTTGAACGATACTTCACTTCTTTCAGATGAGCTAAGCCGATAGGATGAACTAAAAAAATTTTGCATCATGAACTATGTAACGTGTACATCAACATCAATCTGAGATACATTTCTACTCTTCCCGCCCCTAAACTTCCTTAGATAGGTTCGAATTATTTTTTGTTTTTGGGGGCAAAAAAAAAAGGAACCAAACTCGAATAATTCATTTTTTACACACTTTATATATACATTTGAATATACATAGAATAGACCTCGAACATAGAACATACAGCTCTTCTTTACACCTAGATAGATAAATATGTATAATGATCTAAACCACTAACAAATATGTATCTATTCCCAAAATTCATTTTTATGAATTTTGGGAATAGATACTAATACACAAATTAATCATGTGCCAGGAACCAGATTTGAACTGGTGACACGAGGATTTTCAGTCCTCTGCTCTACCAGCTGAGCTATCCCGACCATTCTTGGCGCAGCATCTCCATTTTAAGAGATTACTTGAATATATGTCAATGAATCTATGTCAACTAAATAAAAAATACTTTTGTATTTTTTAATTTTCTTTTTTTTTCAGTAGTACTAATCATTATGTATTGTTAATCATTAATATGAGACTTGCTTGCTCATTGCTCAAGGATAAGATGTTCGTTTGTAGGTTTGTTTATCATATAATATCAAAAAAAATTGTATGTTTAATATATATATATATTATAAACATATTCAAAGACTTGTGTTGTGATTGTGATAAAAAAAAAGAAAAATTCCACTCAGATCCATTTGTAAAAGAATGGACTGAATGAATAAGACACATAACGAATAAAAAAAAAGATAATTTAGGAGAAAAAATTAGAGAGTGAACCCGGACTTTTGGGGATAGAGGGACTTGAACCCTCACGATTTATAAAGTCGACGGATTTTCCTCTTACTCTAAATTTCATTGTTGTCGGTATTGACATGTAGAATGGGACTCTATCTTTATTCTGGTCTGATTAATCAGCTCTTAAAAAGATCTATCAGATTATCATGGAATGAATGATTTGAGCAATCAATATTCAATTACTCCTTCAATAAATAGAGATTTTCAGTCTTTATTAATCAATTGAAATAATATTTCAGTAAATATACGTATATATGTATATACGTTTATTCTTGATCCTTTACAAAATTTCGATGAAAGGATTCCTTTCCTAACCCAACGCGAAAGTAAATGTCGTCAACTCCGTTTGTTAGAACAGCTTCCATTGAGTCTCTGCACCTATCCTTTTTATTTTCGCTTTCTGAACTTTTCTTTGTTTTTTCGAAAAAACGGGATTTGGCTCAGGATTGCCCATTGTCAATTCCAGGGTTTCTCTGAATTTGAAAGTTATCACTTGGTAAGTTTCCATACCAAGGCTCAATCCAATTAAGTCCGTAGCGTCTACCAATTTCGCCATATCCCCCCTCTTTTTAGATTGTGATCTCATTCTCACTAGGATTTTTTTCAGTTAAATTATGAGAATTATTCCAGAACTGTTGAATGGATTCGATACTGATTCCTATATTGAAAGATGTTTCCTCCGATTTTATTTATTCTCGTTCATCGATATTGGATATTCATATTTGGTAGAATCTAACTAAAATGATTCTATTATTTCTGTATTCGCAATTCAATATACCTAGAAATATACCACATATCTATCCTTTTTATATGTCCCTGCCCTATTATTTTTTCATGCAATTTGGAATACTCGAACGGTCGATTCTTTTTTTTTTTTAATCCATTTATTAATTTAGAATAGAAATCGATGTATTATACATATTTCATCTTAATGTATAAGAATAGTGTAATATAAATTACTGTTTACTGTAATCCAATTCTTCATTATTCGAAATTCTAAGAAATTCGAACGTTTTTTTTTCTAATTCGAATATTATAAAAAAATTCGAAATGAAATAATATAAATAATATTATATAAATAGAAGATACTCTAATATAAATATAAAATACAGTAACTAACTAAGATCCCGTTAGTAGCTTAGCTTAAAAAATTCCTATGTACGCGGAATTTTGGCTTTGTGAGCCCGCTTAGCTCAGAGGTTAGAGCATCGCATTTGTAATGCGATGGTCATCGGTTCGATTCCGATAGCCGGCTTTTCTCTATTTGTTTTGATTTTTTATATAATTTTTTTTTTAGGAATAAAAAAAAATTGGGGGAGTTGGATCTCTGTAGAACAAATCACGAAAAGAACCGCCTCCGCGTTTTTATTTTCTATATACAATAGGGTTCGTATATTAATAGTATTCATCTAATTCTTCTTTGTAGTACAATATTTTAGTAGATTTTCCTTGATTTAACATATTTGGTATGGTTAATATACCAAGTTATCGTTGTAAACCCCAAGATATCTTTACAACGAAGGATGAACCAAAATCTAGAGCTTTGATTCAAAATGATCTTGATTCAGCCCCTCGTGACGAGTTGCCAGCCCATTTGACTCTTCATCCATTCCAATATAAAGGATTAGTCAATCAAATAATAGATAGTAAATGGGTTGGTTTGAAAATAAATGAATTGCTGGTTGTAGAATATTATTCTCGTTAGGCTTAAACCTAAAATAACAAGAATTTTGATCCGAGGATTTTTTCCATTCATGTATGATAGACATAGGAAACGTTTTATTCCTTGCCTACTTTTTCCAGTCTTTTTAGTATTACATAAAAAAATTAGGAATAGAGAATAAATCCATATCCAACTTTGTTGGAATAATGATGTCCACGGTTATTTGTGTTATTTGAAATGAAACATTGTGGTAAGTAACGCGGAAAGAGAGGGATTCGAACCCTCGGTACAAAAATTCGTACAACGGATTAGCAATCCGCCGCTTTAGTCCACTCAGCCATCTCTCCCCAACTAAAAAAAAAAGAATTACGAAGTAAGTTTCTGTTACATTGCATAAAAAAAAAAAATAAAAGGTTGGTCTTTTTTGAAGAGCTCTTTATATCTTTTATCTCTTTTTTATTTATATTATATAAATAAATAATATAAAAGAAAATAATAATATAATTTATGCCATTTTTTTAGTTTCTTTATATCTTTTATCCCTGTCCATGCCAATACTTAGCTGGGCTCTTTTTGTTACCACGAATCTTTGAAAACAAAGATTTAGTTGAATGTATTTCATTTGAAAAAAAAAAAAATACTTGTTATTTAAACATGATCAAACATAAATAAAAAAAGACTTTTAAATTCCTAAGATCAAAATGTCATTTTTTTTATTACTCCTTCGTTTTTCTAGTAAAGTATCTAAAAAAAGAAACTGTGGATTCTTACACAATCAATTTTTTGTTATGGATTAAGTAGTTTTGTCGAGATGTAGATGTATCTGTCAAAACAAAACATCTTCAGCTTCTGCAAAAACAAAAAAATGAAATTAGCTCTCTTTTCTTAATTTCATTTGGAGGTCCCCTTACAAAACATGTCAACATTCTAATTATTTCCTCCTATTTATAGTATTCTTAATTCATTTTTATTACTAATTATTTTATCTTATTTTTAATTAATTACGCTTATGAGCCTTGTGACACCCTGAATTTATTTTCTTAAGATATGGTAACAACCCAGAAAAGTGGGGCAGACTGTCAAATTCTCGCTTGAGCGAGACATTCTCACCCAAGCGAGAGGGTCAGAGTTACGCCCAGGATTTTATCTGGGAATCTCGCTTGAGCGAGAAATGTCTCGCCTGGACGAGGGAGAGAGGGTTGACACTGAAGGGTTCTCATTTGAGCGAGAATCCTTCGCTTCAGCGAGAGCGTTAGTGTTGAGTTTTTAAAATGGGCGGGATAATCTCGCTTGAGCGAGAATTAGCTCGCTTCAGTGAGAACTCGACGATTTCACTTTAAAATAGAAATCCTCAAACACATTTAGGGTTAGAACTTGAGAAGAGGTAAATCTCTTGATTCTAGCTCTCTTTCTCCCTTTCAAACTCGTTTTGGATGTATGGGATCTCTTCTTAAAGTGTGAGAAACCATGGAAACTCTTCCTTTTGAGTTGTGGTTCGTTATATTTGATTTCTCTCTTGTAAACTCTTGATTTAGAGTTTGTATTTAAAGAATGGAAAGGGTATGTGGGTTGATTCATGAAAACCCCAAAACCCCAAAATGAGAATATGAGTAAAGAGGGAAATGGGTGAAATGATAGATGTATAAAATGAGTATATGTTCTAATGTTGAATATAAGATGAATATGTATGTTTTAGATGTTTGCAAACTCTTAATGAAGGTAGTTTTGGAAACATTGAAAATGTGTGAATCTTTTGTATGGTTAAAGATGAAATATGGGTTGTTTATGTGTTATTTTGAATAAATGACTAACATTGTTGTTATGTGGTGGGAATGAGGAAAGATCCTAAAGTTGGAGGCGGTGTCGGAGGAACTTTTAAAGTTACCAAGGACCAAAACCAACACTCACCAATGTAAGGATAAGTCTTTAACTAGCATATCGTATTGAGAGAATGCGTGGAATTGCTGTTTATGAATTGCTGGTGAATCAATGAAAAGAAAACATATTTTTAGCTGACCATTATTGGTTGGCGACTTTGGCTCAAGTTATGTAGCGATACTTTGGCTCAAGTTTTGTAGCGATACTTTGGCTCAAGTTATGTAGCGAAAATGAATTTAAAATGGTTTACTAACCCCTTTAAAAATGTGGATTATCTTATAATGATATTTATTGAATTAATGACTTACTCATTTGTATGTTTTGTGTATTTGTTATCGATAATCCCATTGCAGGTAAATAGGTACATTGAGGATGCTTGTTTTGGAGGTTTAGGAACTTTAAAATACAGATTCTTTTGTTTACGCCTTTTTGTATTATGACTGACTAAATGCTATTTTGGATAATTGTAACTCCAAGCATTGTAACACTGGATATTTGTAGCTATGGGAATTTTGAAAACCCATAGCTGGTTGTATGCTGTAGTTATAGGGAGACATTAATATGAATTATGTTTTTCTGTTAAATGAAATGGGTGTTTGGATATTTACGTTATAGAATAATTATAAACTGGAAAGCGAGATTAACATAAAGTTGTTGGATTTGTGATTCTAAGTTATAGAAAAATGTAGGTGAATGGATTAAAAGAAGGAAAAAATTTCAAGTGTAGAATTTGGGTCCTTACAATATGGTATCAGAGCATAGTTAATTCTGCAGCCTATGGTATGGCCTTACTTGCTTCTTTGTAACATGTTTGTGATTTAACTTGTTGAGATTATGTGAATTGACTGTTTAAATCATGTAGCATTGGTGTAGTGACTTGTAATGTACTATGAGACTATGTGATAACCTGAGTTATGTGAGTAAGAATTGTGTGCTAACCACCAACCAGTGCAGGTTAAGAAATGGTTGGAAGAGGGAGAGGAACGAGTCAGAATGTTCCAATGATCTGTTGGCTCAGATGGTGGCTGCACTGCAACAAGTGAATGAGAACTTGCATAGCCTGAACCAGAACACAACACCAAGTCCTAGCTTGCAACCTTTAGTCCCACCCGGGCCGGCCGAGTACCGAGGATTGAATGAGTTCTGTAAGCGGAATCCTAGCTAGTTCCAAGGTGGATTCGCTCCAGATGCTTCAAACGAGTGGAATCAAGACTTGGAACGAATATTCTGAGCCATGGGTTGTAATGATGTTCAGAAGGTGGCCTATGCTTCTTACATGCTGGTAAAAGAAGTTGAAACTTGGTGGAAGTTTACTCGACGCCAAATGGAAGTTGAGGGACAAGTGGTTGTCTGGGGTACCTTCAAGGAGAAATTCCTTCAGAAATATTTCTAAGGTTGGAGCAGGGTAACATGTCGGTGGGAGAATATGCAGCCAAGTTCGAGGAATTGGCCCGATTTTGCCCTTAATCTGAATTGGAAGTGGACAGAAGATCCAAATGCTCTAAATTTGAATCTGGTTTGAAGCCCAAGTTGAAAATGATATTCAGGGATTAAGAGATTGCAGATTTTGCTACATTGGTAAACAAGTGAAAGATGTATGAGGATGACTTGGCGGTAGATGGGGTGGTGACTCCCCGCACAAATCCCCTAAGGCACTTTGGGCCTCAAAGGAGTTATGGGCATGGAAAGGGGAAGAGTAAGGTCTTTCAAGAGGAACAAAATCCGTACTCCCCACCTGCTGGAAATTGGGGAAGTAGTTCGCATGGACTAAGGCCTCACGTGTAAGGACCCAATTTCCACCCTCCCAGGTGAGCCTCTCTCGCCCAGGCGACAATTCTCTCGCTCAAGCGAGACTCCCAGGACTGATACTATAATTTAATGACTTTAAAATCTAGGGTGTCACAATCCTCCCCCTCTATAGGAATTTTCGTCCCCGAAAATTTAATTAGACTACTCTCGGAAAATCATATCATCGCCTAGATTTTAGGCATAAGTTATACTCAACCAAATTCATACTCGATCATCTAATCCATTAAGATTACTCAAACGAACACCAAGGGCATACACCACTAAACTGTGATATGACAAGGCCAATTCATGGACAATCTCCTCAAGGCCCAAATACTAAGATCCCAATCTCGAACAACTCGAACAACTAAGAGAACGAAACTGTAACCGGAATAAAGATTCCCTAGTTTTCATCAAGAACCATAGGTCTCTCTGACCTATTCAACTAACAATCGTTCAAGACGATCCCCACATACGTTGAGAATCCCAATAACACTTCCGAAACCAAGGGAATGGGGAAACTCCTTACTCCTCACCAACAACAAAAAGCATCATTTATCATCCAACATGCACTAGCTAGTTCCACCTCCACTCAAGGAAATAGCATAAATTCATTCCACTCATTAAACAAAACCACTATTTGCCCAAAATTTTCCTAAGCATTCCCAACATTGCATGCACTACCACATAGAACCAAGGTAGTCACTCAACAAAACATCTAAACAACTAAGACTTTTAGAGTCTCTCCCCTCATGCAAAATCAAGCCATCCTGTAATTATCCTATTACATCAAACATTTCTGTCACCATACCCTACAGTAGAAAGAAAGTACCGATCCCTAGTCTCAATTGGACACACTAAACCATTGATTCACCCAAAATTAGATATTTTGTTACCAATCGACAAGGGAAGATTTACAAACGTTCA